GAAATAAGAAAGAGAAATATAGTTTAATAAAAGATCCAATGTAAGGCACTTCTGAATTGATCTCATCCCTCAAAAATAAAAATTTGTTGAGTAATAACTGAATTCTTCAATAAAATACTCTTTTATAATTCTCAATAGCCCTCATGATTTTGAATTACGAAAAAGAATTAAACATTCGTTTCTTAATTATGATTTGATCTCCATGAATATGGATATGGATATAAGAAATCAAAAACGAAAAATAGATTTCTCTTTCGTTTTTGATTTCTTATGTTTTTTTTTTCGTTCCTATTCTTCTTTTTTGTGCTATGAAAAAGGGACTTAAAAAATTTTAAAGGATTTTTTCGTTCCTGATAGTCATTTATTTAATGAGTGGATGGAAGCATACTCTGGATCGGAGTTGTGGGGAGTACTGCTTTATTTTTTCTACCAACTTAAAGCCCCAATTAGTATTCTTTTTATATTCTGCGTAAATTGTCTTTTGGATAATTTACAAAATCTGTGTTACTAATCCTTTGTGTATCTTGGTGTTTCTAACCATCCACTCTTTTTTATTAATCCCCCTTATTTATTTTAATATATCTATGAGAATTCATAAAAATGGTAACTAAAACTCAATAAGGTTGGTCTTTAGAGCCCGCTTCAAAACAGGATGACAAATTATCCAATCTTGGGTTAAATGGCCTCTTCTGTTTATAATTTTATTTCATTCTTATACATAGAAAATGAGACTCAATATTTTTACTGCCATTAAAAATCATCATACTATCTATTAACTAGAAGTAAGAAAGTATTCTGAAATTCTATTCAATATAAGCTGTTTTATTTCACTCATATAACTATCTAATTTAGTTCTTCAATCGGAGAAAAATAAAGATAATGAAGGTTTCTATTCAATTGATTCGCCTCCTTTCCTATATAGTACTATAAAGAGAGGAGCATAGCAATAGCATCGAATAACTTTTTTGGTTTCAACGAATCGCACGTAGAGATATTGATAAGACACATAGAGTTAATGGTATTTCATAACTAATCGATTGAGCAGCAGCTCGTAGACCACCCAAAAAGGAATATTTATTATTTGAGCCATATCCTGACATAAGAAGTCCAATGGGAGCAATACTCGAAATAGCAATCCATAAAAAAACACCTATCTTGAAATCAGATAAAACAAAGTTATAGCCAAAGGGAATTACTGAATAACTTATTAGAATTGATATTATTGATATGGATGGTCCAATACTGAATAAACGAATATCTCCCCTAGATGGAATAAGATTCTCTTTGAATAGTAGTTTTGTTCCGTCTGCTAGAGCTTGAAGAATTCCAAAAGGACCAGCGTATTCAGGTCCAATACGCTGTTGTACCCCTGCTGATATTTCTCTTTCTAACCATACAATTGCTAGTACACTTATTGTGATTCCCAAGATAAGAATCAAAATTGGTACAAGTATCCATAGAATTCCATAGACCTCTTTGAAAGATTCCAATCCGGAAAAGGAGTTTATATCTTGGACTTCCGTTGTATCAATTCTCATTTCAACGATCAACTTCTCCCATAATGATATCTATGCTACCTAGTATTGTCATAATATCAGCCAATTTCATTCTTTTAACTAATTGAGGAAGAATTTGCAAATTGATAAAACCAGGTGGACGAATTTTCCATCTCCAAGGAAAACCATTCTGATCTCCTATTAGAAAAATTCCTAATTCTCCCTTGGGGGCCTCAACTCTCACATAAAGTTCTTGTTTCGGCAATTCAAAAGTAGGAGACGATTTTTTACCAATGAATCGATATTCAAAATCATTCCATTCTGGCTCCTTTTCTCTATCAAAGCAGCGGATTTCAAAATTTTCATAAGGCCCCCCTGGAATTCCTTCCAAAGCCTGTTGAATTATTTTTATGGATTCCACCATTTCACCAATTCGAACTAAATAACGAGCTAATGAATCTCCTTCTTTTTGCCATTGAACTTCCCAATCCAATTCCTCGTAACACTCATAATTATCAACTTCACGTAGATCCCATTGTATTCCGGAAGCCCGAAGCATCGGTCCTGATAACCCCCAATTTATAACTTCCTCTCTACCAACAAAACCTACTCCTTCAACCCGTTCTAAAAAAATTGGATTTCGCGTAATAAGTTTTTGATATTCAATAACCCTTGTTAAAAAATAATTGCAGAAATCAAAACATTTATCTATCCAACCATAAGGTAGATCAGCGGCTACCCCCCCAATACGAAAAAAATTATGCATCATTCTCATACCTGTCGCAGCTTCGAATAGATCATATATTAATTCTCTTTCTCTAAAAATATAGAAAAAAGGGGTTTGTGCACCAATATCTGCCATAAAAGGTCCCAACCATAGTAGATGAGAAGCTATACGACTTAACTCCAACATAATTACTCGTATATAGCTGGCTCTTTTAGGTACTTGAATATTTCCCAATTGTTCCGGCCCGTTTACAGTTATTGCTTCTGTGAACATAGTCGCTAAATAATCCCAACGTGTTACATAAGGCAGATATTGTATAATTGTTCGGTTTTCCGCTATTTTTTCCATACCTCTGTGTAAATAACCCAATATTGGTTCACAATCAATAACATCTTCACCATCCAGAGTAACAATAAGTCGAAGAACACCATGCATCGATGGGTGTTGAGGCCCCATATTTACTATCATGAGGTCTTTTCTTGTAGCTGGGATATTCATAGGTTTTTCCTCGATTCATTCTTCCATGAATCGTTCAAAAAAAAAAGTTCATCAAAATTCAGTATCTAATAAATCGAATAATTGAAAATGATTCTTTAAATTACCTAATTTGTGAATCCCGAATACCCAACCGATTTATTAAATTTTGATAACGTATTTTGTTTTTCTTTGACAAATACGACAATAGTCGTTTCCGTTTTCCCAGAATTATACGTAAACCTCCTTGAGATAAATCGTCTTTTGGGTGTAATTTAAAATGTGAAGTAAGTCTTTGTATTTTATTAGTGAAGTTGAATACTTGAAATTCAACCGATCCCGGGTTTTCTTCTTCTTTTTTTTTTTGTGAAATAACAGGTATAAATGAATTTTTTATCATAAAATGAAAGCTTTTCTTTCCCCCTCCTTTTTGGTAGATATTTTTATTGATCAGTAATAGTAATGACACTCATTTTGAATTTTTTATATCAAATTTTACCTTAATTTATTTAACAATTTTCACAATTCTGAATTTTTTTTTTTCAAATTCCTTATTAAGGAATGTAATTCAAATAGAGAATAAATACTATATTTATGTATTCAAAAAATAAAAAATTCTATTGTCTTGTATTTAAAAAATAAAAAAAAAAAAGACAATTTTGATTTATTCATTTTTCTATTGATTTATTTCTATCTAATGGAGACATCATTGAAGTCGTATCAATCCCACAATGCGTGTGCGCGTTTATTTTATTTATTGCAATTATCAATTATATGTGAACATATATATATATATATAAATAAATATTTATTTATATATATATATATATGTTCACATATCAGATATCAGATAGATATCTGAAATATTATGATAATGATAAATAGAACAAAAATCTAGATTTTCAATCGAGGATACATATGTATTCTTAATATACTGAAACGGCTTCCATTATGTGTATCAAACCAATAGCGGTTCATACAAGCTAAATCTTCGAATCGATAATTTGGCCAAAGAAAGAATTTTAAAGTCATTAGTTTTTTTGTATCGCTATCAATATCTTCATTTTGAGTCAAAACTTCAGAAGAATTATTTCGTTTTTTCTCAGTGTCATTTATTGTGTTTCTATGCACAGTATTTCTATTCTGTGGGTTCAAACAAATTAGAATTCTCAATTCTCTACGGCGTCTAGTGGACAAAAGATTTTCAGGAACAAGTAAATCATAGTTTCTTTTCAAAATTTTACGTTTGTGCCTCAATGATATGCTTATGGTTTGATATATAAAAAATTGTTCATAGTTTTTTCTAGAAATACGAATAGGTTCAATAAAAAACATTAGGTTGTCCCTCAATTCCTCTGTGTCCCTACATTCTGTATAACAAGTGTCCTTCATCTGCAGACGCGCCGTAATTTCAAAATCGAGGTCTGCCTTTTTTATAGACATTATGAAAAATTGTTTTAGATTTTTCAATCTAACCAGGAGACAATATAAGTTGATATTATCCATTAGTGTTTCTTGGACGGGAGTCTTACAGTGCAAATAAAAACCAAAATATTTATCTAGTAAGAAATTTTGTTCGCCATTTAGATCCTTCCTGTATCTAGTTATACTATACCGAGTGTCCCTATAATAGTTTGAGAGATATGATTTGAGATCTGCTTGCTTCCCGTATTCTTTCTTTTCTAACTTTAACTTGGCTACATCAGTAATGTTTTTGTTTCCATAAAACTGCACAAAAAAGAAATTCATTGGTAAGATCCAAGGATTCTTCTTATATGCACTTAATTTTGAAAAGAACCCAAATCTCGGAGTCAATAATTTCTGATTCGTTTTGGAATTCTTTTTTCTTTTTCCCATCCAATTTAGATACTTTCTATTCAGATTTTTTTCCATTGTTTCCATATCCATATCTATAATACCATCTTCTGCTATATAATTTTGGATAAAGCTATCGCCCATTATATCAAATAATTCTTTTTTATTTTTAGGTATGTTGTAATTAATCGTTTGGTTTTTGTTTGCTTGCAATGGTGATTTATATCCATAAATATAGGATTTTTTGTTATCTGCATAATTTATATATTGATAGGAGAAAAGATCATATCCATATTGTTTTTTTATTTTTTTTTTTTTTTCTAATAAATCTACTTGTTGTTTTTTTTGTTTTTTGTAAAAAATGAATTGGTTTTTTTCAGATGAATCATATTCAACTAAATTTTTCTTTTGAGCCACGCGATGTTCATGGATTCTCTTCCTCCACTTTTGTGGTACTAATTTTGACCATCCGCTCTGAGGTAAAGCATATTGATAATGAACCTTTAACCAATTTATCCATTGATTCATTATAGAATCGGGACGGTTCTTATTTAATTTGGAATTTAATCTTCCTCCTTGTATTCTAAAAAAATAATCTTTTATTTCATTCTTAAGAAACAAAGATCTTCCATGAGATTCAAAAATAGATCTTAACTTATATTTATATCCATTACTAACTTGTGATAATTTAAAAAATACATAGGCTTGTGACAAAGAAGATACATCACAAGAATTCTGTGAATTCATATCTGTAATATTCCAAGATTTGTCTATAATCGACATAAATGGAATTATACTTTCATTTGTTTTATGAACTCTTTGTTCATTTTTTTTTTTAGTGTAAATGGAAATAAATACATTTACAATTTTGTCTGTTAATTCAATAATATTAAGAAAACGTTGTCCAGACATCATAATAATACGAGTGATAGAGAAAACGATCTCTATGTATATCCTTCCCATTAAAATTTGAAAAAAAAAATAGGATTTACGGATTAATCGAACGGTTCTTCTTTTTAATATTTTCAAACTATTTTTTAGTAATTCTAATCTTTTAGCATCATAAGTAGTTTTGGTAGAATTCAAATTAATCTCTAAAGTTATAACCCCCTCTTTTTTTTCTTCTGTCATTTTTTCTAGTTGTTTTAAGATTGTCTTTGTTTTAACATTAAGATCTTTTATCCTTTTTTCTGTGAAATTTGTCCAATTCATAGATTGAATTAGAACGGGCGATTCCTCAATCATTGGATTACTCTTACTGATTGTTGAATTTTTTTTGCTTTCACTCAATTCATCTCTTTTTTTGAACCTATTTTCGATTTCTTCTAACACGATTCGAGACCCCTTTTTTCTTTCATTAAAAACTTTTAGAACTAGAAAAAAAACGATTTTTCAAATCTTTTTTCAATTGTTTTTTTATTTTTTTTAAAATGGGACCCAAAAATAAAAAAGGGTTTGGGACATGATCATCAAGGTACGATTCGACTTGTGTTCCATAACCTGTTAAAAACCATAAGTTTTTTTCTTTCAGTGGATCTTTTTTTTTTTCAGTAGATTTTTTTTTTTTTTCAGTAGATCGTACCTTATTGTGCCACGGTTTCAGAACAAAAGGGAATAAGATCCTTATCTGAATACCCTCCCAGAACCAGTTTGTTGGCAACGCGGTGTGAGATACTGGAACGCCCTGATAGGTGCAGTAAATATGGACTTCTTTTCTCCAATCCCTCAAATCTTCTGACCATTCAGGATTTTGAAATAATAGTATACGAATGATATTTTTTGTGATTATCAATGAAGGTAATAGAATATATTTTCTAAATATTGATTGGAATAGTAATACAAAACTTCTGATTATTAGACCATAGAGAATGCTCTCCCAGGCTTCTTCGATTTGTCTAAGTCTTATTTCAGACTCGTCTTTGTTTTCCTCTATCTCTTTCTGTTCTATCGTTTTCTCAAACGCCAAAAATTCCGAATTATCAGTACCCGGTTTCCTGAAATATTCTTTCAAATATTGGGAGATATCATAGACAAGATCACCAAACAAGAACGCGTAGTCGCCCATTATCTCCAAAAAAAGAGGGGAGTGTGCAGTTCCTTGAAAGAGTTTATAAGTTACTGTTTTACGCCTTTGAGGGCGCATAGATCCTCTGATTAGGTCTCGGCAATAATCTGGTTCGCGTGAATAATGAACTACAGCAAATTCAGTATTTCTGTCCGGTTCAGCACTATTCTGATTGTCATTAGAATCTGTTTTACTATTAAAAAGAACTATACGGTCAGCTTTTGGGGAACGAATCTGAGACTCCTTTGGACTCGCGTCCATCAATACCGCCAATTCGTCGACTAAGTCGTATGACCATCGAGGAACTTCTTTACTTATTTCGTTTATTTCACTACATAGTTTTCTATTAAAAATTGTATTATTAGTAGGATCAGTTCGAATTGCGTCCAATAATAATTTTCTTTTTGTTTTTTTTTCTTCGGAATATATTTTTACTTGTTCATGTTCTGGAAATAAATAAAGTCCGTCAAAATTCAAACTTGATACTGATTTTTCCGAAAATTTACTGATTAAGTTAAAAAAAAAAACCAATTTCATTTAATAATAATTTTCTATCAAATTGATCTATTTTCTGTTCAAATTCTGGATCATTACTATTAATAGAAAGAAGGAGACCATGAATCTTATTTATCAAAATGTAGTTTGTTGTGTCAGTTTCATTTGGAATGAAGGGTGAAAAGCCTTTTTGGATTTCTCCACGAACGCGTCCATTCAAGAAAGGATCATATATTTTAGTTAAGTATTTTGTTTTCCTATTATCATCAGACAATCTAATTCGATTTTCAAATACATCCACAGGACTAAATTTAATAGATTTATTATCTATCATTTTTGCCCTTTGAAAAAATTCATTGATTAGTTTATTTCCTTTTTCTTTATTAACAGAGCTCCAATAATTAGACAATTCATTATCATTATAGGAGGTTTTATCTCTTCTGAAGAGATCCATTTTTTTTTCCATGATTTTCAGAAAAGTAGATAAATGAGGTGGATACGTGAAAGATATTCGTTTTTTTCCATCACTTTGACATACCTGAAAAAAAAATTGTGAATTTTCATCTCTTACAACCCTTTCAAAGTGATCATTTTTTATATATCGCAA